AGGGATGCTCTGCATGGGGGCGGGGGGTACGGAGGGGGAGGGGAGTGCGCAGGTGGAGGGGAGGGATGGCGGACGGTGGGGAGGGGGCGGAGGGGGAGGGGAGTGTGCATGTGGAGGGAAGGGATGGCGGGTGGGGAGGAGGGGGCGCAGAAAGAGGGGCAAGACGGGGGCAAGGGCAGGGCGCTCGGTGAGTGGGCCGGACAACGAATGGCGAGGGCAAGGGCAGGGCGCGGAAACTGCACCCGCGGCCCTAGCAGTGAACGAACACGTGCGTCGCCCACCCCTCGCAAGTTTCGTGCCCCCCACCCCATGGAGAGCTCTAATTTTTCACGACCTTAAGTGCTGCATCCCGCCCGTGTCGGTGTTCCCGGGAGCTCCACCTACGGCCTCGGCGGATGTGTGGGCTTGTGCTCTCCTGCGCCAATCTCGACGCGCTCGTAAGGACGCCCCCGATAGGCCCGAATCCTTTCCCAACCAAAAGGGCACCAATGCTCTTGGCCTTCTCGCCTTTTCGCCAAGAGAGCTCCAAGCGGGGCCAGAAGAGCTCCAATACGGTCTCAAAGGGCGACCCAAGAGGGCCCCACGAGGAGATGTTTCGGGCTCCGATGGGGGGGTCCTGATAATTCGTGCCACCCTCTTTTATCTCGATGGCCTCCAAGATGGCTCCCGCGCCCCGCAAGAAAGCTCCAAGATGGCTCCACGAGGTTTCTGAATTCGCCATTGTTGGCCTACGCACTTCACTATGTGCTTCTCTACGCCCCTCCTCCCGAGAACTCCAGTGAGCAGAGTCTCCGGAAGGGCTGGTGTGGACACACGAAGCGCCAATGTTTCTTCTGCTTTCGCATGGAAGAAAACGGGCCCAGAAGGAAACGGGTCCTCACCCCCTGGGACTCCCCCAAGGATCAATTCTTCATCCTGGATCCTTTCCTTCTTGATACTCCTGGGGACAGGGAGTGGCCCCTGGAGGCCGAGAACAGCGAAACACCTCAGGGCCCGTTTGCCTCAGGACCTGCTTCCTTCGTGGAGGAATGGCAAGGGGGACCGGCGCGGGGGGAAACATCGGCCTGGACTCGGCGATACATCGCCGATAGATCGGCGATAGGACTCCCGTGGAACGAAGCCGAACGCTCCTGCGCGGGGTGGGCTATGAGGCCCCGATCGGCGATCAATGCGCGCGATTGGGGGCCGATGCGTCCTCCCCCGAGCCAATCCCCCCCCCAACGTTGCCCCTGAGCCGTCTAGCTTTCGGGTCGTTGTTCGAGTCTCTGTTGGCCCTTCGGGACAATCTGGACCTCCCGAGAACGCCCTCGCCGAGGCGCAGCCGCTGGAGAGCACCCCGACGCCAACAAACCGCTGAGAACCGACGGAAACGGCCTCAGACCGCAAACCTCGAAGCCCGAGCCGTCGAACCCCTGAGCAGATCCCCATTGACAACAGGCGCGTCTACCCCTTTGAAAAGCATGGCTACGGAGTTGGGGAAAGGGGAGAGCTAGGGATAGAAGTGGGCCGGTGTCCAGCCGCCCTCGGCAGGTTCCACCACTGTGCCAGCGCAGCTTTCCGTGTGGCGGCTCTTCGAGCACCGCCCAGACGACCGTGACAAGCAAAGGTCCTCTTCGGCGTTGCCCCCCACCACGGCGAGCTTTCCTTTTCCTCCGTGGCCCCGCCGGCGCGGTGGGCGAGGCGCTCGCGGCAGCGCCCGGAGTCGGCGGAGGGCGAGCTGAGGCAGCGGCAACTCGACATCGGCCCGCGGACCCTTCCCCGGAGCCGAGACGCGCCAGCTCCCCGAGACGTGGTGACGAGGGCCCCCCCCCAGGGGGCGCGCAAACATGGATTAGCGTTAGGTCGGGCATGTCCCCCTACAGGCGGATTTTGGACGAAACATAAAAAGCAGTCAACCAATGCTCAAAAATGGCAAAAACATTACAAACAAATCGTCCCCAGACTATTTTTTGACTATTCTTGAATATTCCTTCTGTGGAGGGACGTGCCCGACTTAAGATTGGCGATCCATGGATCTGGCGCGCGGTCGCCAAATCCATGGATCGGGGTAGGTGCCCTCCCCAAAATGCGGCCGGTGCCGCCTCCGCTTGGCGGCAGAAATCCGCGGCTTCCCATGGAAGCGGGGCCCGTCGCTAATCCACTCCACGCGCCCTTGATCCATGTTTGCGATCGCCTGCCCCCCGGAAGGCCCACGGCTGTTGTCTCAGCTTGCCCTCCCCCGCTGGATCGGGGAGACGTAAGACTCGGGTACGGGAGACTCGGGTTGGCCTAACGGGGCCATCATGAAAATGAGGAGGCCCAATCCGAAATCTCACGCGAGTTCCCGCGGCAGACCTCCCACGAAGACCGGACCGTCAGAATCCAGGACGCGCTCCTCAAAAAACTTAGGCAAACTCGAGTGCTAGCTTACGGCAAATTCGCGTCGTGTCGACCCTGGCATTGGTTCCTGACACCACGGGGATCGTTCAAACCTGAACGATCGGCCGCTCAATGAATGCCGGATCTTTCAAAAATGGACCGATTCTGGGCCACAGGCGGCGTTCAACCGTAAACGCCCGCGCTGGGCTTGCCGCCGGTCGACACGACGCGAACCTGCCGTATTCGAATCTTGCGTTTCCTCCACTGGAGGGGGGCACTCGGGGCGAGGCCCCCAATTACCGGGACAGGGCCGCGCCCGCAGGCCGCTCGGCGCCCAGTGGCGCGCCCTCCCCGCCGCGCCCCGCCGCCCGCTCGGCCGCCCGCAGCTGGGAGGCCCGCGGCGGCGAGGCCCTCGGGCGGCGAGGCCCTCGGGCGGCGGCGCCACGCCGAGGGGGCCGCTCGCCTCCTTTCCTCCTCTCCTCCTCCTCGCCTCCTCCTCCTCCTCCTCCTCCTCCATCCTCCTCATCCTACTCTCCCCTCCCCTCCTATTGCTTCCTCCTCCTTCCTCCTCTTGCTCCTTCCTCCTCCTCCCTCCTCCTTTCCTCCTCCTCCTCCTCCTCCTCCTCCTCATCCTCCTCCTCCTTCTCCCTCATTCTCCCCTCCACCTCATTTTGCGCCTCCTCCCCCCCATTCTGCTCCTCCTTGCGCTTCTTCTTCCTCCTCCCTCCTCCTCCTCCTCATCCTCCTCATCCTCCTCCTTTGCTCTCCTCCTCCTCATACTCCTAATCCTCCCCCTCACCTCCTGCGCCTCCTCCCCCACTTCTGCTCCTCCGGCGCTTCTTCTTCCTCCTCCTCCTGCCTTCCTCCTCCTCCTCCTCCTCTACTCCTCCTCCTTTTCTTGTCCTCCTCTCCTCCTCTCCTTTGCTCCTTGGCTCCCTCTCCTCTCCTCCTCCTTTCCTCCTCCTCTCTCTCCTTCCTCTCCTCCTCCTCCTCCTCCTCCTACTCCTCCTCCTCCTCCCCCTCCGCCGACAGAGGCCTGCGGAGAGAGGCCCTCCGCTCCTGGCCCTCGGGGCGCGCAGCAGCCGCGCCGCCTGCGGGGCGCGCAGCCGCCGCCCGACCGAGAGACCGGCGGCGCTGCCGCGCGCGGTGCCGACGGCCTCGCGCGCGCGCGCGAGGCTGCAGCAGAGGCCTTCCGGAGGGGGGTCCGAGGGCAGCCAAGTCGTATCACAGGGACGCCCGGCGCGGGCCCTTCGTGAGGGCGCAGGGGGAGGAGGGGGAGGAGGAGGAGGAGGAGGAGGAGGGGGTGGGGGAGGAGGAGGGAGGGATGGTGGAGGAGAGGAAGAGGAGGAGGAAGAGGAGGAGCGATGGAGGAGGAGGAGGAGGAGGAGGAGAGCAGGAGGAGAGTGGGTGGGATGGGGATGAGGATGAGGATGAGGATGAGGTGAGGATGAGGAGGAGGAGGAGGAGGAGGAGGAGGAGGGAGGAAGAGGAGGAAGAGGAGGAGGATGGAGGAGGAGGAGGAGGAGGAGGAGGGGGGAAGGAGGTGCCGTTTTTGTTTATTCATGTTTTTGCCGATAGGCGCGTCCCCACTTGCACCCCCTCCCCCCCCTGCTTGGAGTAGATCTTGGCTGTTTTGGTTTGCCGATCGGCGGGGACCCTCGCACCACCCCCTCCCCCCCCCTCTTTGGAGTAGATCTTGGCTGCTTTGGGCGCCTGTCTTGAGCAGGTGGAACCTCCCCCCCACGGAACGCACGGTTCCAAGAAGTCGCATTAAGCAGAGGTCTGGAGCCAAACCCCCTCCCCCCTTCCGCCCAATGTCGAAACGCCGACTAAAAAACGGGGCCTTAGAAGGCCATGCCGACACTCTGAGAGCGAGGCGCGGCCCGCGGAAGCGACTAAGAATGGGCCGAGTGGGGAAGGATGCAGGGGTAACTTTTGAAAATTACTGCTCCTTACTATGCGGGTCGACTGGTAGAGGGTGTCGGCGTACCTCGCCGCATCGGCAATGCATCGCCGATGCATCGGAAGTGCATCGGCAGTACGTCGGCGACGTCGGCGACGCATCGGCGACGTCGGCGTGGAGAACGTCCGACCCCATCTACTTCGTCCCTGCTTGAGAGGCCTGGGATGGTTTTCGGGGCATAACTCGGCCTCAAGCGGCCGTTCGGGACGATTCTGGCACCCCCGAAACGCTCTCGATGAGGCGCAGCTCCTGGAGAGCACTCCGAGGTTGGAAGACCTCCAGGAACAGACGAAAACCACAGAAAACTTACGAAACTTGGTCCCAATCTGGGAGGCCTAGACCCAACGTGTCCCCATCTGTTCGGGCCTCATCCCCAGACATGCGACGTTCTGATTTTTTTGATTCTTTCAAGATGGCGTCCCCAGAAATCCAGACCCTTTTCTCTCGGGGCCGGTTCCTCCTCCTGAATCGTTTTTTGACGGCCCCGAGGCCCGGTGAGGGCCCCCCGAGGCCGAAATTGGCCAAACGCCCTCCGTCCTGATCTTCTAACGGCGCGATCGTGTCTGGGTCTGGGAGGCCCGGATGCACGGGCCGCGCGGCCCAGGGCGGGCGCCGGTCGGCGCGCGCAGGGCCGCCGCGGCGGGGCGTATCGCCGTGGGGAGCGCGGCGGGGCCACGGCTCAGCCAGCCGTGTGGCCGTAGGCTCCCCGCGCCTCGCCGAGGCCGCCGCTGCCGCCCGCGGGCGAGCCCCCCGTGCGCGGCTCCGCCGCGACCTCGAGGGAAGGAGACTGCTCCTCCTCCTCCCCCTCCTCCTCCGCCTCCTGCAACTCCTCCTCCTCCTCCTCCTTCCTCCTCCTCATATTCTTCCCATCCTTCTCCTTCCGCATTGTCCTTCGCATTTCCTCTTCTCATTTCCTCCTCCTGCCGGAACCCAACCCCCTACCTCGTCCTCATCTCATCTCCACTCTCCTCCTCCCCACTCCTCTCCCTCAAAAGCCCTGCCCCGCCTCCTCCTCCTCATCCTCCTCCTTAATCTACCTCCCTCCTCCTCCTCCTCCTCCTCTTCCTCCTGCCCACTCCTCCTCCCCACTCCTCCTCCTCCTCCGAGGTCCGCCACCGCGCTTGCAGCTGTTGGCGTGCGTCGGGCCCTTTCGCCCCTTATTAGGAGAGAGACAAGTCTCGTGATGGGGGGGAGGGACTGGGCAGACACAGGGCACGACCGTGTGTAATAAGCGCACTCAGCATACGCGATCGTGTACGGACGATCCGATCGTGTCTCCTATTGGCGGCGCGCGCAAGGGGGTGGGGGGGGGGAGGGGGGAAGGCTTTTTAGAAGGAGGCTGCTTCTTAGAAGGCGCCGGCCTTACCTTGTAGACAAGGCGCTGCTTCTAAGAAGCAGGGGTGCTTCTAAGAGGCCTGCCCCCCCACCCCCCCCCCGCCCCCCTCTGCGCGTGGCTGATCCTGACCCCATCCTTCTCTGCGAGGCAGCGGGGCCTCCCTCCCGACGAGCCGACCCGCCCAGATGATCGCTCGCTCCTCTGGCCAGGGGGCCCTGCGTTTCTTGGCCTGCCGGGCAGGAGGTGGTCCCACACAGCCTGGGTTCCGTGGCGCCTCGCAACTCCTCCCCCCCCCCCCGCCCAAGCGCCCCCCCCCGCCCACCCGGGCGCGGTGGCGGAGTCGCGCGGCAGCGCAACTGAGTGCCGGCATGAGCGACGATCTGGAGCGACGACATGGAACGGGACCTACGCGGGAGGACACCGTGACTTGATGCGCGGTGGCTGACGCGGGGCGCAAGCGCGGCACGCCACACTGGAAGCGAAGGCGCTCGCGCGCGACCTTGCGCGGGCAACTTGCGTGACATTGTCCGCGCAATCGAGCCCGTTTTTTTCGTTTTTTTTCGTCGCTCGTATTGGCTACTCCATGGACCTCTCCCGGGCCGCGTCCCGACCAGGACTCCATGACGGCCCATCGGTCGGAAGAAGAGCAGGCAGAACCATGAAGTAGGACGGCGTTGGAAGTACGGCGGAGGCATTGAATAAGGAAGCCTTGGATAAGGAATCCGGGGTCTGGAAGCCAGTGGAACTCCAATTGTGTACCGGCCAGGGGTATCGCCACCGCCCTCATCAGCTAAGGAGTCCTCCAAGGTCTGAAGCCTCCAGGGCACATTCCTTAACCAATGCCCTCACCGTAGATTGGGTCTCCGCCCGCCTCCTGAAGAGGAGGGAAGAGGGAAAACCGCTAGACTCCTGAAGTAGGAATGTGGCTAAAGTACAGTGGGGGCCAATCCACAAGAAACCTTCCACAAGAAACCCAACCCTGAGACCGTCCATCGTTTTTTTTGCGTGGGAGCGTCACGCCTTCCATCGCAAAACCATCGAAACTCAAGAAACCAAAGGCACCCTGGTGTTTCTTTAGAGGCCTCCTGGATGGGGTCGGAGTAGATGGTGTTGGAGGATCGCGCCGCATCGCGGGCATCGGCGATGTATCGGCGATGCAGCGATGCACTGGCGATGCATCGTCGACGTGGGCGATGCATCGGCGACGTCGACGTGAGATCGGGCTCCACATTGAGCCGCATCGCCGATGCATCGTCGATGCGGCGCGGTCCACCGACTCCATCTACTCGGACCCCATCTGGGAGGCCTAGATTCTTGGCATGGGCCCCCACTGCAGATTGGGAGCTGGGCACCCCAAAATACCTGCCTTCAACGACCGATGGGTATGGTATAGTGCAGCCCGTGGCGGCGATGCGGGACGGGCTCAGGCCCCCCCCCGACGCCGTGCCTCTCTCTCTCTCTCTCTCTCTCTCGGAGGAGGAGGAGGAGGAGGAGGAGGAGGAGGAGGAGGAGGAGAGGAGGAGGAGGAGGAGGAGGAGGAGGAGGAGGAGGAGGAGATGGAGGAGATGGAGGGGGAGGAGGAGGAGAAGGAGGAGGAGGAGGTGGAGGAGGAGGAGGAGGAAGAGGAGGAGGAGGAATCGGCTTCTCGGCCCGAGTCTCGATGATCCTCGGAACGTGTGTTAGTACCAACGTGTGCTGGTCCATGGAAGCCCTTCAATAGGGCGAACGTGCCATAACGATGGCCGACACCGGCCGACCGGGGTCAATACACATTGGGCTAACACACGTCCTGAGGATCATCGAGAGTCGCTCTTGGACGGTCCCGGAGCCCGGCGAGGTCCCTCGGCGGCCGAAACTGGCCCACGGCCCTCCGTCGTGATGCTGTCTCGACGCGAGAACGCCTTGGTAGGCCCCCCACGTGCGTCGTCTTCCTCCTCGAGCGTCGAGAAAGAGGCAGAGCCACCCGAACACCTCGCTCCTCCTCCTCCTCCTCCTCCTCCTCCTTTTGCCTCTGCCGAGACCTCCTCGATGCGGTGGCTCAGCTGCCCCAGGTGCTGGCCCACCCGCCGCAGCTGCTCGTCCAGGGCCGCGAACACGCGCTGCTCGCCCTCCAGGGCCGAGCGCGCCTCGAGCCGTGCCCGCGTGGCCGCCAGCTCCACCGTTTGCTCCTGGTGAGCATCGCTGAGCCGATACCCATCCCCACTGGCTAGAGGGAAGAAAATCCACCCCCACAATAATCACCCCGACACGCGAAGCCGTTTAGTAAACGCGCAGGGCTGTTAAGTAAACGCCCAGGGCCGTTTGGTAAACGCTAATTGTCGGGTCTGGGTGGTTCTTCCTCCCTTGACTGGCGTGACCTTGGCCACTTACGGCAAGCTCGTGCCGACTTGGGTGTTGGACTCTGACACCGCGGGGATAATTCATTCTTGAACGATCGGCCGTTTCCTAAACGGCCGATCGTTCAACATCGACCGATTTTGGGTCGCTGGCGGCGTTCAACCTTGAACGCCCGCGCTGGCGTCGCCGCTGGTCGCCTAGCGCACCCACCCAGGTGGGGATGTATGCTGTTCCCTTCGGGTTTCGCGGGGCTCGCCCCCACCTGGGGTGGGTGGGCTGGTGGAGCCGAGAAGCCACGGCCAAGTGGGGATGGGGATCGGTCAGACGATGCTCATCCTGGATCGCGCCGAGGCGCTGCTCCAGCTCCCGGCGCCACCCCTCGAGCCCTTCGTGCGAGCCTGGATCGGAGAATCAATGCGGACAAGTTTTGCCAAGTTTCGGCCTACAAGGGCCCCCACCTAAGACGAAGCCAGGACGAGGATAACCTCGGGTGAGGATGCATCGAGAATCTCTGAGATCCGGCGGCTCTGTTGGATGTCTCGGGTGCCGCGGCCTTCTCAGAGCGTTCCAGAACGCTCTGAGAGCGTTCCAAATCGCGCTGGAACGGAATCATCCTCGTCCTAGCCCCCTCTTGACCACCAAGCCCTGGAACAATCAAACATTGGGCTTCTACTGACCCGGGTCAATGCAAACCCGGGTCAGTCTGGCTTTGCAGGATTCTGCAAACTCATGCAGGATCCTGCAGGATCCTGCGCGCAAGCCCGGGTCAATGCAACCCTGGCTCTGCAACATCCTGCAAGATCTGGCGCCCTGGCTGACTCCCGTTTGCACTGACCCGCGTCCCTTCTTGGATGGCCGAGGGGGTTGCTAAGGGGATGGGGGGGTAGAAGTTAATGTTTAAGTGGTTTTATCCAGCCTAATCCAGCTTTGAAGGGGGTTTCACGTGCCCTAAGTGGCTTACGGGCGCACAGATCTGTGCTAAATGGGCGGAGCCCACTTAGCGGAGTTACCTCGTCACCCTAAGCCACATATAATAGGGCAATTGTAACCCACTTCTAAGTTGGGTTCGGCCAGGTATAACCCACTTTAGCATCTACTTCTACTCCCCCATCCCCTTAGCAAGCACCGCGGCGATTCAAGTTGAGTCCCGGAAACAGCGGCTCAAGGATGAAAAGCTGGTCCCTGGGTCGGGGTCCAGACCTCTGGGGAGTTACGCTGTGGCGACACTAGCGTCAAGTCGGGCCTGCCCTCCTACAGGGGGATTCTGGACGAAACATAAGAAATAGCCAAAACATGCCTCAACATGGTCAAACAATATTCAAAGCATCGTCCCCAGACTTTTTTATCTTTTATTCCTATTTTTGAAAATTCCCCCTGTGGAGGGACAGGCCCGACTCAAACATAGCGACGTCGGACGTCTGGGCCCCGAGAAGGAATGGCCAGCCGAGACAACGGCGCTTCTCCCCGGCGGCTGTCGTCCTTCCTGGGCCTTCCTTGGAGGCTTCTCGTCGCCTCGGCTGGGCCCGCTTTGGAACACGGGGCAGGGCGGACCCCTGGGAGGGGTCCGGGGGACCGACTCTGGGCGGGTTTGGGCTGGGCCCCGAGAAGGGCCAGCCGAGACAACGGCGCTCCTCCCTGGCGGCTTGCGTCCTTCCTGGGCCTCCTTGGAGGCTTCTTGTCGCCTCGGCTGGGCCCGCTTCGGAACACGGGGCAAGGCGGACCCTCGGGAGGGGTCCGGGGGACCGACTCTGGGCGGGTTTGGGCTGGGCGGGAGAGCCGCTATTGTCTCCGACGTCGCCCCCCAGCAGAGGTCTGGACCCCTTCCTGGGGACCGGCTTTTCCTCCAGGGCCGTTGCGCGACGGGCCCCAGGGCCCGGTAAGGGCGACAACAATGAAAACCTCCCGGCGTTTTTTTTTTTTTTTTTTTTTTTTTGTTTTTTTTTGTTTTTGCTGTTGTTTTTTTTGTTTTTTGTTTTTGTTTGTTTGTTTGTTTGTTTGATTTTTTTCACAACGCGATGGGGTCCGGGTCCGAAGAGCAAATGACAAGGCACCCAACTTGGCGCATCGCGCCCCGCGAGGCGCAACGCGCGGGTAACCTCGCACCGTTGCGCCCTCGCGCCGCCCCGCTTGGGAAGGGCCGCTGTTCTGGCCTAGAACCGGGACGCGCGAGGCGCGGTGATCCGGGGAAAACCTATAAAGCAACAGCGCATACTTCATGCCAGACTCCTTCGCGTGGTGAAAACATCACGACGGGAGGTTTTTTGCTATCTTCGGCCTCCAGGGGCCCTCGCCAGGCCTCGGGACTGTCAAAAAGCGACTCAGGACGAAAAACCGGTCCTGGGGAAGGGGTCCAGACCTCCAGGGGTCGATGTTTTGAAAAACACGCGACGTCGGGGGTCTGAGTGGACAATCAGCGCATGCGTCATGCTAGGTGAGGAACCCTACCAGCCCTTTAGGGCGTGAGTGGTTTAGAGATTTTCCTCTTCCAACCCCCTTCGTCCCGTTCGGCGAGGGGCTTGCCCCTCCCCCTCCCCCCTCCCCCTAGACTTGGACGGATTGAAGTGTCCGAGATGGCCTCGGTGAGAAGGCCCAAATCATTCGTGGCCACATTTTGGCCTCTGGGGGGAGCAACGCTAATTGAGTACGGCGCCTCCTTTGATCGGTCTCCTCCAAGATGGCCCCCGAGGTTCCCAAGGGAGCCTCAAGACTGGCCCAAGAGGTGCCCAGGAGGCCCCTGTGAGGCCCCCAAGATGCCCGCAAGAGCTCTCAAGAGACCTCCAAGAGGCCCCCCGGAGGGACCCACGATGCCCCAAGAGCCCCCCTGCACTGGCAAAAGACACCCAAGACGCCCAAAGGTGACTTCAAGAAACTCTCGACAGATATCCGAATAGACTCCGAGAGGCATCCAAAAGGCCTCTGGCCTTCATGCTCGCCGTTCTCCTTCTCCTCCTCCTAGTCCTCCTACTCCTTCTTCTCCTCATCCGCCTATTCCCCGTCTTTGCTCCTCCCTCCTCCCCCTGCCCCTCCTCCTCCTCCTCCTGCGAAATGCCGAACGCCGTCCGAAAGGCGCAACAAACAAACTACGGCCTAAATTGCGCAAACAGAGAGAGGGAGAGGAACACCGCGAGAACAGCGGAAGGAGAGACAAACAGGAGGCGAGCCTCGCTGACGCTCAGAGAAGGTGCGCCAGCTGGTGGGGTTACTTTTTTGATCGCGACCGCGAGCGGACATCCGCGCGGCGTCAGAAAGTCGTGCGGAAAAGGCAGGGGCCGCTGGTGGGGTTACGCGAAGCGTCTAGAATAGTGGAAGGGTGACTCCCCAGGAGGAGAAGGAAGAGGAAGAACAACTGAATCAATCACGCTCGGGGGTTGCGGGTGGTGACAGGCAGGCGCAACGGAAAAGAGAGATGTCCAAGGGGAGTGCTGTGCGGGCGCCGTGTAAAATTAGTACGCGATGCCCGCGCCATCACGACGACGACGACGGCGACGACGAGCGCAGAGCAAATGTCGCCCACGCGGCGGGGGAGTGCT